CCCCCCCCCCCCCCCCCCTTTATCTAACATTCCATCAGCTTTTTTTTGTGTGTGCCTCTTTTGGTCTTAAGTAGAGGGCTGAGGGGCCGAGATAGACCGGGGGAGATTTTGATGACGGCTCCCTGTCTGGTCCAACAAGCCGATTCTCCTCTGAAACCCAACACACACACACCAACACACACAAAGACACACATCAGTTTTCTCTTCATTCTTCAATCCGAAACACCAGGAGACCTTTTAAAGTTACTCAAAGGCGGATGGGACTTTGGTCCTGATCCTCTGGATTTCATCCCCTTGAAGGTGTGCGCTTGTGTGCACTCGCTGCGCATTTGTTCCTCCGTGTGCGAGTGTGTGTGTGTGGAGGGGAGCTCCCATGCTGTCTCGGACTCAGCTTCCACGAGACACTTTGCTCATTAGAGGGAAGAGAGGGCGACTTGAGTGACTTCTGGTCAGCTCCTCAACTCAACTTGATCACAAGGCCGGTTCCCGTGGAGCCGGAGAGAAAGTCGAGGTTTGGACTCTGCGCGTGTCGCCTGGGAAATACAGCGTGTGTGTGTGTGTGTGTGTGTGTCTGTGTGTGAAGAGATAAGAATGGGAGGACTATGAAGATTAGAAGAAGGGATGCAGCAAAGTGGATTATCTATTGTTGAATTAAACAAATTAATACAAATCCTAACTTAAAAAACATCAAATTTGGAGAAAGAAACATTATTGCACGTGCCATATACCATGTAAAGGGAAATTTACACACACACACACACACAAAAGAAAATCGTCAGCATCAGCCATAAATATCACAGTATGTCAGACTTAAAATCAAAATGTCAAACATTATACAACATCACTTCCAATCACCAGAGAAAGAGGCACAGACCATTAGATGCTATCTGTTATTGTGTGTGTGTGTGTGTGTGTGTGTGTGTGTGTGTGTGTGTGTGTGTGTGTGCGCCTGTCAGATAAAATACTGCACTTGGCTATGCAATGATCTCAAAAGGGGGTTTCACAGGGAAGCCTCCAAAATGTCAACATGTACATAGATACTATAACTTTAAACATTAAACCGAGGTACAATCGCTCTATTTTTTGGGGGCTTTGCATGATAACCAGCAAACCCAAAAGTGCAAGAAGGAGAAAAAAAACCCACATTGGCCCGTTTTGAGGTTCCGATTGTAGTTTCCGATAAAACTGGCACTGACGCGACAGCTCGAGATTGCTAAACGGGGGTCCTGCGATGATGAAAAGCCACCCGGATTATTCGAATCCTGTAAATCACGGCTAAAAGTCAATGTGTGGAGCCAAGGTCTATGAAACTATCAGTGTGGAATAGAGAACATAGACGATATGTTACCGCATTGCCAAGTGCCACCACTTAATACCATTCATCTTTGGTGCCCCCCCCCCCCTCATCCCTCTCACTCTATCTCTGCATTGGAGTGCTTGGTGTCCTCTAAAAGTATGGATCTTGACCGCGGCCATTTTCCGTGGAAGAGGGAAAGGCTAAAGAGAAAGCGCTGACCCCTCTTCGCTGCAATTTTCCCCTCATCAACTTGTGAGACTTCATTAACTTCCACCGGGTAATTTCTTCTCTCAGTGCATTTCCGAGACGGGGGGGGGGGGTTATGACGTTTTCTTCCCATCCATTTTTCTCTTTTTCCTCTATCTCCCACCCTTCACCTCTAAACTCTTCTCTTTGATTTTCTTTGCTTTAAAAACATTTCCAAGTAAATAGGGACGGTAGTTTTTTAAGGGGAAAGAAATATTGCTACCTGGATGAGGTCAACATTCGGTTTATGAAGACTGTATTTGTTGGTGCTCAAATGAAGACCCATAACTTTTTATATTTTTTTTAACCAATTCCCAGCAGTGCAACCTGCAGAGAAGCAGCTTCATGGAGAGGTAACGTGTCCTCAGCTTTGCATCCCTCAGGAGCCCAGAATAAAACAGCCAGCACAGCTCAACCTCATCCTGGTCGCCTCGATGCTCAGTTGAGGCCTCGGTGCAGAAGCTGCATGATGGGAAATGTGAGTCAATGCTGCCCTCTTCAGGAATATCAGTGTGACTGCGTGACATGATACGGTGGTACTTTGCTGAGTTGGATGGGTGTTTTATTTTAAATTATACCATCTCCTGTCACGTGGGTTCACAGTCATTCATAACCCCTTACAGAGGTGCAGGAAGTACCTACTCAAATATTTGACTTTAGAAAAAGTAGCACAGTGTAGCAATACAATGTTACCAGTTAAAGTAGTCAGGATCCTAAATTGTACTTTTTAAAGTATGAGCATCAAAAAACAGTGGAAAAACAACGAGTGTTACAGTTTGTCCGTCCCTCCCCCAAGGATCTTTTGTTTATTATATTTTTTGCATCATTAATCAGAATCTGCAAAGTGGATTCAGGGTTCAAGATTCATACGTTTTTGCCGGAGACCACCAGCCGGATCAGAGCAGCCCGCCTCACGCGCACGCCACTGAGCGATGTTCATCCGTCTGCGCCGATACGTAAACTCTCCTCTGTCTCTCTTTCCTCCGAGCAGCTCCGCATGACACACGGAGTGCCGGGGCCAGGGCCGGGGCCCCGGCGCACAGACAAATGCCAACCGCTCGCTCTTCCAAATGTCAAATGTGACATGTCGGCGACATTCGATATAAGCGTCCCTGCCGGACCGATTCAGAGCCACGCTCTTCAAACAGTAATGTCTCATGATGATAGTGTGTGTGTGTGTGTGGGGGGGGGGTTGAACTGCCTCTGGGTCCTTCCGGTCATCGGTAAAGGGACACGGTCGAGAGGTCGACTGAAGTTCAAATAAAACAGCAATATTAGAAATGCTTCCGGCCTTAGTTTGTACTCCAGCCTGTCCACCCTGTAAATCAACAATAACAGCTGGACTCACTAACTTTCACTTGGAATGTTTAAATTAAAATATCAGCTTATATTACTTGTTGTATCGCTGCATTTTTGTGGAGAAAAGCATGGAAATAATCCAGGTCCACAGTACATTGTGTACTCATCCACGGTGCTCATCACAGCAAATTGTAAGAACTGGACAACAAAAGGCGAAACCATGTTTTGAAATTGCAAAATGTCTTTACAAATGTCTCTGACTGTCACGAATGATTCAAACAGACCCGTATCAGCGTGTTAACTGCATCATTCCGCTTTGTTTGGAAGCCATCTTTCAGAGATTCACGATCACTCAGCTGACTCACTGACCCGTTGTTTAGAGAGCGAGATGCTTTTCTAAATGAATTTGGGAAACAACTTCTGCCACTGAACTTCCATGACCCTACTGAAAAGGTACCAAAGAAACCTGCACTAGAGCAGAGTCTCGTTTATGACAGAAACACGACAGATGAACAAAAGCTCAAAGTCACTCAGGAACGTTGCTGTTTTTTCCCAGTAACAAAGGCGATGTTAGTTCAGTGGTTTATAATACACCAGGAGTAATGACTGGCAGTGATCCTGACCCTTTCCCCAACATTACACACTTTATGAAAGCAGTGTGTTATATAATACACTAGGGCTGTTTTCAGACTGCTTCTGGAGTCTCAAACTTCTGGATTTTCCAGGAACTTCAAACAAACTGACAGCCAAACCTGTTGGAAATTATTTATGTGGCAAATCCAAATTATTTGGGATCATCGGAAATAAGAAAGCCGACAAAGGTTTTCTACGAGCATTCAAATTTATTAAAGGCACATCAGCTACAAAGAACAATAGTTGTGCTGGACACATACATTCATCGTCAATTACCTTTTACTTCAACTAAATCAAGCATACCACATATTAGGATATTAGGACTGATGGGTATTCTACAGTTCCTAGACCAACAAAACAAAAAAAAACGCATTTGCTGTGCAAAAATTTGTATTATAATTTTTGTTTTTAAAGTATGACTTTTTGACAGTTGTCTTCATGTAAGCGCCATTGTGATTAAATTTGAATATCAAATTGCGAGGTTTAAAATCATAAATACATTGTAAATTGTATAAATAGAAAATCTCCAATACCCAGCCTCAGCTTTAGAGTCACTACCACTAATGTACAATGCATCACATTTCACAGCAATATTAAACACCATTTAAATGATCCTAAAGGATGTTATCTTTCCAGTGTATATAGCAACCGTTTGTATCGTTATTTTTTACATATGGTGTATGACGCAAACACATCGCAGCAGGCAGGGTTGGGCCTTTGTGCCACACAAACACACACACACACACACGTGTGGTTGGTTGTCCGGACTTGGATTAGGCTCGGGACACCTAGACCACATCTGTGGAACCTTCACATGATGCGCACTGGAATGGGAATAAGTCACCAAGATCTTGTAGCAGTTCAGCTCAAATTCTAGCCGTCCCGCTAACATTTTTGGCTGTTTTCCCCTCCAGACAACTGAGAAGTGGTCCATTTTTTCTTAACAAGACTGATTAACAAGCGGTCAGCTAAATCTAGTGAGCTTCTCTCCCGGGGTTTTCACTGATTCTGGACCATCTGTCTCTTCTTTGTCTCGGCCCCTTCCATGTCCTTCATGCAGGCAACCAGGAAATCGCGGCACTTGAGGGCATACTGCTCGGGAAAATCCCGGAAGTGGCCGACGTGGGGACTGGAGACGAAATCGAAGCTGTCCGTCGGGGCGCCCTTCTGCTTCACGGCCTCCACGAAGAGCTCGATGTCCCTGTGCCTGATCACCTGGTCGTCTCTGGAGTACAGGTAGAAGTGAGGCCAGGCGGGCGGCCTCTCCTGCACCGCGTCGTAGTGATTCTTGTGGATGTACTTGGTCAGAGGGTACAGCACGACTCGCAGCAGGAAGACAGTCACCGCGAAAAGGGCCAAGAGGACGTACCGCAAAACGGGGGTTATTTTGGGGCCCAGGGTGGCCGTCAGTGCTCGCAGGGCCCCGCGAACATTCCCGCTACCCGGGGCACTGTCCACCAAGGCCCCGATCACACACAGGGAACTGAACTGTTTGTCGCTGTGCAGACACTCTATAATGTAACGGTACAGCATGAAGCCGCCATTGCTGAATATGTGAAAGAAAACAGGACTGTTCTCCACCTCGTAGTCATACAGGATCTCCAGCAGCTTCAGGGCCGTACCGCTCAGCTCCTTGTAGCCAAAGGACTCAGAGATGAAGACCGTCTTCAGGGGGGGCCGTGTAGCGGATGGTGACGCATCCCTGAAAGTGGGGAAAATAAAGAAATAAAAAAATGTAGAGGAGTTGCTGTTAAACAGACAAAGCAATAGGCAGAATGTCTTGGGGTATTATCTTTCTTTTCTTTTTTTAAATGAGTTTTCACCTGTTCGTTGTAGATGGAGCTGTATTTGGAGAGGTGTTTGTCTCTGCAGCCAGCCCAGCCCAACAGAATCACAACCGGCTCCTTTGTCCCCTGCCAGTGTCTCTCTGAAAACAAGACACACGGTGAAACTGCGTGCCAGCTAAGCTGAGCTAAACGCAGCTAGCGAGCTAAGCTAACGGTGGGCATGGCTCCCTTGTTGAGATAAGCGTTAGCATGTACGCTAGGCTAACGGAGGCATGAGCGTATACAGCACAATGAAATGATGCTCACCCGATGTGCCCGCATCTGGAAACACGATGTTGTAGTCTATTTCATCGTCTGCCATTGCTGCACGCGAGAGTATCACCTGTGTGTGTCTGACGTTGACGTTGGGTTCATTTGGTTGTTGTAAAAGAGGATGATGGGGAACGCTACAGAGCGCTTACATTAGCAATGCCAGCTAGTGACATGTAACACACTGCAGACAGCCAGGTCGGTGGACTGTCACTACACAAGTGCTTCTTCTTTGTGTTGTTGAACAGCAGTTAGCATCCAGCTAATGTCGCAATACTGCCCCCTTCAGCACTACAGTGTTATGTCGGTCAAATTGGTCAAATTCTGCATCATATTCCCCAAAACTAGTCTTGTTGAGCGGCAACGTTTGGGAAAAATATGAGACAATGTATGCTGAGTCTTGTCTTTAATTTGAATTATAAATGGACCATGTTTATGTTCCATAAAACTCTATATGAAATAAAATACTTATTGTATTGATAAGTGTGTTGTTCACCTGCAGTGGAAATGCTGACTTAAACAAGTCTAAGATCAGGTTGTGTTAGTAAATTGTATCCCAATATAAATTAACATGTAAATCTCATAGTCTCATGTTTAGTAAATATTAATAATTAAAATGTGGATGAAAAGTATCCTCAAGTTCAGGTGAAAGTTAAAGAGGAAACACAAAGTGAATAACTGAGTATGATAAGGTGTCTGTACACTTTGATGCTGAGTGTACTTCTTCACTTTGTTTTCTTTCTATTGACTCCAGTCTGCATGAAGCTGCTAATGAGTGTAATGAGTTACCACAGTCAGAATGCTTCTGCAAGGCGCTGTATACAGCACCACTGTTACTGTGTGAGTTCTGTGGTACTGTTAGTGCTCTACTCCTGATTTATTAACTAGAACTAACAGAAACAGCCGTCATAGCGATTCCAAAGCATTATTTGCTGTCAGTACCGTACTGTGTTACTGGTTATCTAGGTGTGGACATGTTGTTCTGATCATCCCTCCAGATAAAGCCAGAAGATGAAATAAAGACAAAAGAATCATTGTTAAAGAACATTAGTGTATTTTTACAAAATCTGAAATATGGGATCAATCATCATCTCACTTTGGCTGAGTTGTCTTACAAATTCTTGCAGAGAAAATAAAAATGATGCCTCTGCATTGCGAGTATGTGAAGTATAAGTAGCAGGTAACAAATCTACTGCTAAAGAAATATAAACAATTTGCAGCACAAAAAACTGGATTAAAAAAAGGAAAAAGGTAATTTCATCTCCCTGGATTGTGTACATTGTCGTAGCAAAAGTTATCACCATTAACATAAACTGACTATTGTCCCTGATATTGTTAAAAAGTCAACAGAAATCATAAAACAGCCATTCTGGTGGCTCTTTAAGCATGTGATGATGAGATGGGTTTCTAATCTATCCAATAATTGTCAATTTATTTTGCTAAAAAACAAAGAATGTCAACCTCACGGTGATACAGGGAAATAGTCAATAGGATTCATCCTCTGGTGATCATGAATGTAGAAACAATCCATTGGATAGTTGTTGAGATATTTCTGTCTAAACCAAAGTGGTGGACAGACATTGCCATCCATTGAGCCATAGAAATGTGTACACTATAATGCTGTGTGCAAGTGTGCACACTACACTCCAGCCTCCCATACCGTCTTCATCTTCTGCATGTGGGCCTTGGACGACCTGGCGAAGGTGCTTTTAACCACGTTGAGAGGAGCTTCCTTGCCGCTGAGGTAGACCTTATTGAGACACGAAGGAAGCCACGACTTCTCCTCCTTCTTCTTCTCCTCCTCCTCCTCCATTTTCTCCTCCTGCTGCTCCTTCTCTACAGCTCCCACTCCTTCCTTCTTGATCCGGGTGCATGAGTGGGCAAAAATGTATCCCGTCATGAAGGCATCGAACCCGGCCCGGTGCGTCCCCGGGTCGGCCTTGGTCTTCGGAGCGTCGGTCTGAGATGGGTGGTCGGTAAGCATTTCTGTCCCTCCGTCTTCCTCTCGGCTCTCATTTGTGTTGGTTTTTGTGTTTGAGTCGTGATCAGTCGTGGCCGTTGCTGCAGGGTTCCTGCAGTCGGGGTTGTCTTCGGACACTCCGTTCCCCTCGCCGTCTTTTTTCATGTCCACTCCTTCATTCTGCGGGTTGTTTCCGTCACCGGCCACTAGAGGCTCTGTTTCTGGGCACGGCTCAGCTGGTGTTTCTTCGGGGTCCGACTCCATGTGGGGCATTTTGTTCTCAGGGGCGCCATCAAAGATGGAGGGGCCGTCCCCTGCCTCGCCTCTACCTCTCTTCTTGTCTCTTGGTCGCTTCCTCCTTTTCCTCCTTTCCCCCGTGCCTTTCTCGTCCTGGAGGATGATCAGGTCGGTGTCATGGGACGACGGACACTGGGCGCCCTTTGGACACCAGCCAAACGCCTGTCAGACAAACAGGGTATTTAATAAAAAAACATCAGAGACAGACCGTCTATTTGACACAGAAGGACGCAGGAAGCCAAAGGGGATTGATTTCACTTCGCCTTTCGAATGCCAGTAAAACTAAAGTCAAGTAAAGAGTTGAAACTCACAGAGAAGCGCTGGCAGATGTCAGTCTGTCCCTCAGCAGAGGCCACAGCTGGACACACTCTGTAGTCCACGTAGCTGGACATGTGACCGGCATACTGACAGAACTCTACATGGACGTGAGGCTCGGCCCTTCCAGAGGTCACAATGCGACTGTTGTCCAGCTTACTGGAAGGAAGAGGAGACAATATGAGGGAGAGAGAAGGACACGCACCTTCTTACAGTCACAATATTAGCACGAGTTGTCCTGATGTAGAAAATAACAAACGCCATTCTGTTCTGCTCCTCCCTTCATTCTCTTACATTGGGACTTGTTCTGCATTGTGGTTGACGGAGTCACAGCTCAATGTAATTCAATTCAAAACACGTCATTTGTCAGTCCAGGGAAGTTCTGAACAAATACACAAACGATTCATTCACATACATGAAAACAGTAACAAATATATATTATAATAATCTAAGGAAAATGTTGAAATGTAAAAGGGTTGATGGCAGTATCCAAAAACCATGAAGGCATTATTTGTTTTGTTTTCATTAGCTGTAAGCCATAATCATCAAAATTCAAAGAAATTAACGCTTGAAATATATCACCCTGTGTGTAATGAATCTATATAATATACGAGTTTCACTTTTTGAATTGAATTACTGAAATAAATTAACATTTCGATGATATTCTAATTCATTGAGATGCACCTGTACTGTACACACACACACACACACACACACACACACACACACACACACACACACACACACACACACACACACACACACACACACACCACACACACCACACACACACACACACCACACACACGTGCTCTAAGGTCTCAACACTACAAACCAGTACTCACCACTTCTTGTAGGCATATTCCAGATAGGAGGCAGTGAGCCGGAGCTCGAACTCAGTGACGTATTTGGTGTCGTAGATGCCAGCAGGAAACATCTCAGACAGGTCGGCTGTGAAGATGGCCAAGCGATCGGGCAGAGATAAATAAAAACTCTGGCAGAAAGAGACATTGCATTAAAAAAAGAACACACAGCCATTTAATGAGAGCAGCGTGCTGTGAAAGAGGTTCAACAGCCAATATCAATGTTGAAGGTAGTTACGCTTGACAGACCATTTTTATGTATACCGTCGTTAGAAGAGAAAAGGAATGAAAGTGATCAGCCAACACAATAAGTTGGTGGTACCTGGTAAAGGAAGGCCATGTCGATGAGGCCGTTGTGCAACACCAGGGGCTTCCTGGCACGCAGCAGTTCAGTGAATAAGGCCCGGATGTGGACGCCCCGCTCGTCTGATGCTCCCTGACAAAGAAGGTGGAGAGAGAAAAACATCGTCTGAGGAAGAGCAGTTACCTCTTGCAGGGTCCAGTTCTGTCTACGCGCGTCTCGGCAGGTGCTAAGGAACGTACACCAGCAGCTAAAACATATGGTTTCCATCACAGGCTCGTGTTGCATTGATTTCAGTAGTTGGCTTTGTATGATGCCATTTATTGTGCAACCACTGAAAAACTATTTAGCGTCAATGACTTTGATAACTGCTTGTACTCGGCTTGCCTGTATTTGTTAGGTATTGGTGTGTTGCTCAGCGTGGAAAGGAGGACGTTGCTCCACTTTCTCCGGTTGCCAATAGCTCTGGAAAGAGGTTTCACACTTGTGGCCACTGACTGGTGTCTATCAGCAGCGCTCCTGCTTGCTTGCATATTCTGGGAAACATTGTGGAACCTTTATATTGTGCTTCATGTTGTTTTCTTCTGGAGATGAGCATTTCTCGATCCACTCCTCCATATGAGTTAACCTTAAATGTTTCCCTATTGTAGCGGCTTTTAGCAGCCTACTTTGTTACTTTGCGTCTGCAACCTGCTCAAAAATGCCAAGGACTTTAAGCCTCTACAGACAGTGCGCAAGCCTTCATACTCAACAACAAAAGGGACTGTGAAGAATAAAAAAGACAAAGAGTGTAACCAGCAAAAAGACATAAACCGACCTCCACAAGGAAGAGGGGTTGTAATTATCTGTAATCTTGTATCTCATATTCATCGACTCCATGTTTCTAAAGTATCTAAAAACGAATTGGCCTTCATTGCATAGTGCCCAGACATGTAAGCAGTGCTTTTATCAGTGAACTATTTGTGACAGTCATGTGATCGCGCGGCGACCACTTGCAGAGCCTTCGTGCACGACGCGCAGGCTCTGATTCTGCCATTTTCTGGCACGTGGCTTCACTACGGCGAGTATAAACTGAGCTTTAGACATCATAGCAGTGGTATGAACCAATCAGACGGCTTGATTTGACCTACCCGTTTAATACGGTGGAACACGCAGGACAACAAAGAACAGCATGTCAGTATCCTCACCTTACTGTTGCCCTTGAGGTAAGGGATCCCACTGGCGTACTGCTTGTTAAAGTCAAACCCATGCTGGACCAGGAACTGGACTGACTGGGGCTCGATGACGTACTCCTCTGAACACAGCAGGGTGAGGTTATACACCTGGACCAGGTATGTGTCTGCAGCCTGGGGGAAGGAAGAGGCAGAAGATAAAACATCACAGATGTGTGCAGTGGCATTTTCTCTGATCTGAAGATGTATGACATGATGACATGCGATGATGGTGTAGCAGACGGATCATAGGTCGCAACAAGCTCATCAGATGAATATAAAAATATATTTTTTAGAGAAAGCTTCATCTTATCGTACCTTGTCGTCCAGTTTCTTGTAACAGGCGATTCCCAGGGAGAGGATGGAGCGAGTGCGAGCTGCAAGGCATATGGCTTTGTATCTGTCCTCTATAGATCTGAAACAGGACAGCGAGGGTCAGGTGCCAACCAAACACTACAAAGTCACGGCTCCAAAATGACTCCAAAGCGAATTATTTTGCATTCCATGGCTGCTTGCGCAACGAGCTGCTGATGCTCTTTCAGGTGAGTGCGACTCAGGAAGAAAGGAAGAAGCGCAGAGAGATTGACTGATAAGTTTACTCACTCAGCCAGCAAAGACTTCCTGTTCCCAAGACCACTCAGCTCCTACAAAAGCACACAGGGAACAATTGATACTTTGATTTTTTTACATTGATGAAATCACGTGACAACACAAAGAGCCAAGTTACATCGAAAAAAAACAAAACATGCAGACTGTAAGACAATGATGCATGTGATGATGCTATATGTTAAGGGTTAACTTAGTGAAATAAGTGACTTTCCACCAGGCTGACAGTTGTGTTATTTAATGGTTTTATAAATTGTATTGAGACATTCTATTTTGGTGAGAGAAAGGTTATTACAACATTGTGGTCAGTCTGGTGAATCAGTTATATTATGCATTATAGTTTTGCTTCTGTGTAACGTTCGTGTCTTTCTTCTAAATAAGAGGGGGCAAACCATGGCTATTACAACTATCATTCCACGTACTTAAAGGGTCTCATTTTACTCAGGTTGCACGCTGGACGGACAGAGACAGACACTTGCACTTACCGTGTCCAGTGCAATGAAGGAAGCCGTTTTAATGGCCAGTACCATAGCAGGCCAAAGCTCGTTGAAGTTATCATTCTGGACATCAATAACGGGAACGACCAGTGAAGACACCATGTTTGTCTCAACTTAGCTTGATGAGTGCAAACGGCTTATTCGCGCCTAAAACGTTTTCTGCAATCAGCGTTACCGACGTTCTTCCTGGAATACTAGCTAGCTTAATTTAATACCTTGCAAAAGTTTCCATTACCGGCTGCTATATACAGCGTTGTTTCTTATTGCTTACTTGTTGTATTTTATGAATACATTCAGTAATTACTTCAGCAGTTATTAAGTCATTAACACTTTATCGGGTCGACAGCTAACGGCGCTCCATCGTAAACATTTCAACGTGCTTCTCGGGGTCCTGTGATAACAAAAAACATAGTAGTTGGACTTTTGCCTGAGAACAAATAAAACCTATTTGCCACCAATTGTACACACACAATTTTCATAATTAATGAATATATATTTTCATCGTGACTTGTTTATTTTTCCATTTAAATTGTACTTCTCCGTTTGACTTTCAGCTTTTCAATAAAAAATGTCAAGCAGGCGTTGACGATAGACGCACATAAACACTTACGTCACTAAACCTAACTGTCGAGGCGAAGTGCGCCATTTTGGCTCAAACAAAGTCAGAAACATTATATCTTCGATAAAGTATTTTAAATTGTATCCATAAAATACGATGTACAAGTATTCAGGACGCCGCTCTGGTTTCCACGAGATAACACTTAATGCTAATGTAGCTTTTTTTACACTGCGTATGTGACGTTAGTTAGCTAAAAGTAACGTTAATGATCAAAAACCCGAGCTGAGCTGCATTGCCAGCCAAGCTATCCTGACTTTTGCTGAATTTACCTTTGCTGCTTGTTTTAACCTCCGCGATGGGTGGCTGCTCCGCCCCAAACTGCTCCAATTCAACCAGCATAGGGAAACAGCTGTTTAGATTCCCCAAAGACCCTGTCCGCAAGAAGAAATGGGTGGTGAACTGTCGACGTGACTTTGAGCCAACTCCTCACTCCAGACTCTGTCAGGTAGCGTTAGCTAAGTTTACACAGATCGACATGTTTGTGACCTAGCACTACTTTATTAAAGCGCTGTTATAGAGACAATGCATCAGTTCAAACTAAGACCCAAAGTTAAATTGGATATGAATTTATTTATAATGATGAATTATCTTCTGGGCTCAGTTGATTGCTTTCCTTCTGCTGCATCTGAACTGTATGCATGATCTTGTGTGTGTGTGTGTGTGTGTGTGTATCATTGGTTGGATGAAATGTATGTGTTTTCCTGTCTTGTTTCCTCAAGGACCATTTTCAGCAGAGCCAGTTTGAGGAGATAGCGAGGTCCCCAGCTGGGGGAAAGAAGCTGAAGCCCAATGCCATTCCCACTCTGTTCACTATTGGAGATGCTCCTTACCCAGCAGTCACTATTCCATACATCCTGCTGCCCATGAAACCCGAACCAGGTACATTTCCAATGAAAAGGGATGGCAATGTTAAAACAACAGGAAATACAACACTAGTTGGACTTTGCTCTGTGTTTATAGTGGAGAAGGAGCTGAACTTCGGGGACCATGGCTATGCCAGACGCACCCCTCTGCCCGGCCTGGAGGAGGAGGATGCAGACAGGACTGCAGAGGACCAGCAGCCCTGCACACAGTGTCACCTCCTGAAGAAACAGTTGGAGCAGGAGATGCAGCACACTGCGAGGCTACAGATGGAGGTAGGTTGGCTGCTGGTCTCTCTTTCAACGTATTCATGTCTTGTATCTGTTGAAAGAGCCGTAGTAAACTCTTTTCTTCTCTGTCAGGCAGAGGAGATGAAGAAGCGCCTGTTCCGGCACGACCGGATCGAGAAGGGTCTCCAGAACTTTCTGTACGAGGACCAGATTCGCGCCCTGACCCTCACCAAGCGCTCCCGGCGCGCCGTCTGGTCTCCGGAGACCATCCTGAAGGCCCGAAAGATCCGCTGCGAAGTTGGCACAAAAGGCTACGAGTACTTGAGGGATCTGGGATACCCGTTGCCCTCCTACAGGACTCTATGTAACCGCCTGGAGACTAAGATCATGGTGACGACTGACATGAGCTGTGAAGAGCTGGCGGAGCTGAGCCTGGGCCTCATGGCCACCTGTAACAGTCCCACCGACGGGGTTGGGGACAACGATGAGGAGGAACTCATAGGTGTGTTGTCCTGATCGGGGCAGTTTGCACGACTTGCTGACTCTAAAACAAGAGCACAATGAGCAGAATGCACCACTTTAGACATGGCTTTGCTCGACTCATGCAAGATGCCCGGGGCTGGCAGTCAGCCGAGCGTCGTGATCGTGCTGTTTGTTGCCATGATGAAGATGCTGAGCTACCGTGTGTGAGGAGACGTAGTCTGTGACTAACAACACCACCAACGGAGTGTGTGGAACGAGGAGACGTATTTTGCTCAAAGCTCGTTGACTTTGTTGCATGTGTTTATAGCTAATTTAACGTGTTTAAACTGAATGTGTTTACATGCACGATAAAACCCTGGTAGCATTCAGGATAGTCCAATGTACTGAGAGCAAATAAACTCATGTCCTGGGTCAGGTGGCTCGAGTATTCCCATACTATGAGGACTATGGCATGTATAAACTGTTTCCTGTACATTAAGCTTTATTTTTATTTTTTGCCCAAAGTATTTATCTTTTAATGGTGTGTGTAAAGCAGTAGCACACAACCGGGTTAGTGTCTAGGAAGATGTTTGCATTTTAAACATTAATCGGTGGTTTTAAACTACGCTGTTTTATTAAACCTCTCATTCAAATGCTGGCAGGAACATTAGGGTTGATATCCTAAATGCATGCATCCTATTTTAATCACATTTGCAAAACTGAAACCGTACCTGCTTTTCGGTAAATAATCAAATCATTTATTGTGGAGCCCATAAAGAGTCAACAAGGAAATAAAAGTAAACCCTCCGTTGGTAAATAACTGCCGCTAGTGCAATTCTACGCTACATAGGTTGTAACTCTCTGGGTTGCAGTGCATTCGTAGTGACCACAAAGAGTATCGGAAAGAGCTCAGGCTGGTCACATGACGTTCAATATCCAAAACAACACTGGCACTGTGAGAAAAATAAAGAGATTGTAAAAGAATAAGCTGTGTTTTTCATTGCATGTGAGTGTGAGAGAGATGTACTAAATAGTGCAGGTAGGTCTGCACTGTATATCAGGTAGCTCGCAGTAACAAACAAACAGCATGGTTGCCATCACTATGCTGGTTACATCACAGCTGTCATGAGCTCGACTGAATGCTCTACTAGTGGAAACAACCCGAACCACAAGTCTCCTGAAATTCCACTGAAGTAACTAAATACCTACAATGACCATGAGAGGTGGAGCTTCTGTCAGTTATCTTTACCCTGCATAAGCCCAATGAGAAGAGTACCATTTACTTTTGCCCAGGTCAGACTTTGAGCAAATCGCTCACATGAGAGATTAGATATTGGTTTGGCGGTTTGCTTGTTACCGGAGCTGAACTAGGTAGAAAACCAATATGACAAGTTTGGAAAGATTATTTCGTCCAGGTTTGTGAGGACTGACCCGTGCAGCTTTACGGTTCATAAATACGGTGCACCTTTCTTTGACCGACACCACAACTCTCTAGCAATGAGTCTCTCACTGTGACTTCGTCGATCTGACCGTCATTGATGTTGGCCTCCTGCCTGTTCCAAAAGTGCAACCACGGTTTTTTGTTTGTCACATGGTGGCATTCACCTCTCCAACGCCTGAGTCATGCAAAGTAAAGCAAATATACTGAAGCAACTGGATCAATATGACAGTTCTTTGGATTGTAAACAAGACTTACGGGTCTACAGACGCACGAGGGGGCTCTGCAGGGGTGGCGGTGCTTTGAGCGGAATGCTAAAGTCAGCGTGATATGCTAATGAAAACGCTAACATGCTGCTGTATAGTAGGCATAATGTTAATGTTCACCACCATCTTAGTTGAGTGTGTTAGCACATGCTAACATGCTAATACTAAACACAGTAAGTCCAGCTGAGGGATGGCATTAGTTTTAAGGATATTTTCCATGAACCAATAACAAATTGGACCTAATGTCAGCGCTAGAGGAAAAGTTAAGAGATCACAAAGTCATTAGGGATCATTTTCTGCCAATCCATCGATGAGATGTTAAGATGTTTCCCAGGTCAAAACTTTGACCTGCAATAAAAAGTCAGGGGATCACCAAAGTCATAAGGCTTCATCCTCTGGGCACCATGAACAATCTGTACATCATTTCATGGCAATCCATCCAATAGCTAGCTGTGATATTTCAGTCTGGACCAACTGACTGACGGATCGACTGAGCAATCGTTGAGCTAGCTGCTAGCATGGCTTGAAATAGGAAAAGTTATACGGCAGGAAGCCCAAATGGATAATTGCAGTACATGTACACCCTGGTGGAAACAGTGCTGCTCTACAACAGCCTGTGTTTAAAAAGGGGTCCATCAGATTGAAAATCAGTTACACCGATTCCATTATAAATGTACTGGTGAGGATTAACAGTGTCTCAAAAATGAAAATCTGATCCACTGATTTTGGAGGTTAATATAAACACCCCAAATAACACAATCAATAGCCTATGGAATTTGAGTCCATAACAAAAGAAATAATATATACAATTATTTTTAACTGTTAATTGACACAATTGTCCCACAATGCAATGCATGATGGAAATGGTGGAGCTGTGGATGCTCTGGAGTTAAAGGCGCTGACCACGACAAGCCACATCGAATCCTCTTTTCAATTTCAATTCTTACTCACCTTATTTATTCATCTATATAATGTTTACTCTATAAAGTAAAGGCATACAATGCCCTAAAATATAAACAGAAAATGGGAAGAGATGCTCATAGTTCCACAGAAATAAGAATAAATTGCAGTTGGTGGTGAGATAACAATTGCAAGATCGCAACAAAAAAGACTATAAATTGAAAAGAAGGAACTTTTAACTGGTTATGAAACAGTCGGTATTGTTTGACTGCACTTTTGCCAATGTTTGCACTTTTAGCGCTGTTGGCACCATTAGCTGCGAGCCCCCGGCTCAGCCGTCGCCATGTTGAGGCAATCAAAATGCTCCCAATCTCATACATTGCACCTGTACCGTTATTTGTGTCACCTGTGCTTTTCCAGCTTGTATGACAAGAAGGGGGAATAAGGCCTGTCCGTATTGAACATAGTATATACAGTATATAACTCACCTTTGTAGCTCAATTTGCACAGAAATTTCAAAATAACATGCTGTCCATACCAACGTTTTTACCATATTTTGTCTGCGACTACACGTGTTTGATTTGGTGTGTTCCAGATGACATACAAAGGACGTGATAGAGTACAGATACTGGGTCTCTGTCTCTCTCTCTCACTCCCCCCGGTCTGTTTGATTTGGGGGAAGTGCTTAGTCAACCCCACCAGCTTTATAAATAACAGGCTTTACCGTCTGTGTGTATGTGGGTCACAGGACAGAGAGCGGACAGAGGTAAGTATGGACAGCACTTCTCTTTAGGGCTCAAATGAGTGAATAACTGTCAGTCTTTTATTTCAAGAGGTATATTATGAAATATGCCAACCAATCGTATTTGATTTGAAGTTTCTGCATTAGAGAGGTCATTTGTTATTTTCTAAAACGACACTTAGTTTTCAAAATAGTTCAATTTCAGGGTTTGTTTGATGCACTGTTCTTCACTAAAAATAATCTGAACACAGAAAGACTGCTCCTTCATGTTGGTAAAACTGGAGCTGTTGTGTTATTTTCCAGACACCGAACTGCTGATTGAGATCAAACTTTCAATTTTATAACTTCACTTAAAAGTGATTTTGAATCAACAACTAAAAAAGGTTTATTGACAGTTGGGATGCCACTGTGGCTGTAGATATCTCTGTCCCATCCTCTCTTTGTCTTTTCTGTCTGGCCCATTTGCCCCCCGACATTCTTGTGTGCATTCTGGCTGTTTATCCAATAATAAACTCTTTTTGCCGATTATCTCCACATGCGATGAGAGAGACAATGAGGGTTTACTCTTTCAATTATTTGGGGATCAGACTGCCTGGACGTTTGGCTCAGGGCAAGGGGGAAAGCTGCCAGAGATTGAATCCGCTTTTATGTTTACGTGCTGCCCTGCACTGTAGTCTACCGACTGCTTTCCTGGTTTTATTAGGGCCCGAGCACCGACGTAGTCGGAGCGGAGGACCTATTGTTATTCTAATGTTTATTATTATTATTATTATTATTATTATTATTACTTTTCCACTTTCATCGCAAAAAGGAGGTGCTTGGATACTGGGAGTTTTGTGAAATTTGGCACGCAAGCCAGAATTTGCGAAAATTACAGTCTGATTGGGGTGTCCAACTGCGGTATGAAATATTGGCTTGATAGCGCCCCCTATTAATTAATCCGATCTGCTTAGAATTTGGTCAGAACAATCTAAAGACCTTAGCGATTAAAAGCTTTAGGTTTCATCGAACAACGTGGATGTGGTGTGACGGCCATTTTACATGGTTCACCATCATCCATCAAGCTGTTGTAACTCGACTGTACTTTGTCAAAACTGTCCCAAACTTGACATGCTTGTTGACTGTCATGGCTTTAGGACTTTTGCATGCCAATATTAACTCATTGTCATAGCGCCACCTACTGATAAGCACGGACGTAAGCAGGATTCTATAATTACAGTGGCCCAAACACTGAACTTAAAGTTACAGAACAACTTAAAATGAAAACAGTGTTAAATTAAAGTGTTCAAGGAACAGCAAATGGCACTACTGTTTTGTTAACTTTCATGTAAGTCCAAATACAATCAGCAGGACACTGCAGGGAGTTGAACCCCATCCCAGTAAACTGACAGTCTGTTATGTTACAAACACTGAAGCACATTCACACACATTAATCTTCTTAATGATCTTAACAGGCTTACAGTTATGATTGTATCGGATGTACACTCAAAACATTTGAGGCTTAAGACCTGGCAACATGATCTTGCTACGCTGCTGGTTGATGCAGGAAATATCATCTCACTCGTGCACGCAGTGTATGATGGTCACAGAAATGCATGGCCAGAGTCCTGCTAGTACCCTCGACGTGCGTGAAGTTGCGAGGGCCCGACCAATGCTGCTCGCAGCTTTAATTTAGATTATAGTTTAATTGGCTTTTAAAGGGCTACACATCTCGCCTGTGTGACAAAGTGCCTGTTGGTCAAACTAACATGGGGTATTGCACGTCTCTCTCGTCTGGTAGATTAGGTCCAGCCAGCCAGGGTGAGGGACAATGAGCTGTCTCTCGTTGCTGTGGCTGTACGTGGCCCTGCCGGGTCTGCTGAGGGCCTCGCATGTCAGCCTGATAGTGGAGGGGGACAATGACGCCTCCAGGATCTGCAAGCCCGCCCCCCACTGGACGATAAAGGGACGCGCACCCATGCAAGAGCTGCTGGGAAATGTGGTCGTGGTGGCGCTGCTGAAGGCCAGCTGACAGTTCTGTCTCACTCAGGCCTCCAAGTAAGAAAACCGACTCACAGACAAGTATCAACATTGTCATTTTAAATGAGGAAGATCATTATTTAAACATCTTTGAAGGTCAAATTTGGCCTGTAGTCCCTTTTCCCAGAAGACATTTTGAAAAATTGTAACTAGGCTAATTCGCCCCAAAAATGAATAAGTTCTTCCTCAGCCCATACTACACCCTTCTACCAAGTGTACACATTCCCTGATAAAAGAACTATTTGCATGTCTAGGGATTATACAAAGAAGGCCAATTCCTCTTCAGATGCTTTAGAAACAGGAGGTCCTAAACATCTTCATTTGTGTAAACATTTTGCAGCAAAATCAAATAGTTTACAGGATATTGTTTCTTCATAATGCATTTAATACTTGACTTGTTTCTCTACAGGGCTTATACAAAGGCAAAAAAAGTAGTCCATGAATATGAGATATGAATTTACAGATGATTACAATCCCTCCTCGGCATTGTGGAGGTTCAGTTTATTAAAGAAAGTTAACAAGTCATAAGTTAGAGGCACCTTTCTGCTGCTTTTCCAGAAGCGTTATTGAGCGAGTCTGCTGCAATATGATGAGCAAACAGTCAGTTCACTTCTTCAGCCTTTTTTCTTGCTTTAACAATTTAGCTCTCTCTCTCTTTCTCTCTCTCTTTCTGCAGAATTGGAGGCCTGCGTGACAAGCTGGACCACAGCAACCTGAGAGATGTGTCTTTCATGGTAGTGAATGAGCGAGAGGCCCACTCCAGAGCCATGTACTGGGAGCTGAAGAGGAGAGCACCCCTTGGTGTCCCTGTCTACCAGCAGGCCCCCCTTCAGAATGACGTGTGGGAGGCCCTGGACGGTGACAAAGACGACTTCCTGGTCTATGATAGGTGAGGCCTCTTCAAGACACATGGATCAAATAAAACATTTTTTTCAGTATTATGTGCTCTCTTAATTTATGTCACAACCCCAGTAGGTTTTTAGCTCTCTGATAAGATCAAATATACTATATAAATTACAAACTGTATATATGAACTGGACGTAGTCGCCGTGACGGCACCCGTTGGTTTGTGAGCTGCTGTTTTGGAGCCTCAAGTTTGGCAATCTTTGGCTGTTGCCATCTTGTTTTTTGTAACCAGAAGTGATGTGAGAGAGTGGAGCTAAGTTCAAACAAACACTGAAGTAGAAATTTGGAGGCAACCAAAATGTTACAATTAACTTTCATGAACTGGAAACACACTGTGAAAGGGTTGAAGTTCAAAGACAAAAACACGGACAACTCCCAGACCGAACAACGCCGTGGTAGCTACCTGTCAATCACAAGGTAGCCCCGCCTTAAAGCATACTCTGCTTTATGGTCTGTTTGACTCTAAATGGACCATAATGTACTAAATGAACATCATGCTGTATTGAAGAAGACTTGAAACTAGAGATTGAGACCATAAACTCATGTTCACAATGTTTACTGAGGTAATAAATCAAGAGAGAAGTAGAGTCATTTTCTCATAGACTTCTATACAACCAGAGGAGTCGCCCCCTGATAGCCGTTAGAAAGAATACAGGTTTGAGGCGCTGGCTTTGTTTTTCTGACCGGGAGGGTTGCGGCCTGATCTCTGCCCTGCCCTGCTTTAATAATACATATTTACAATCACCAATTTCTGGATTATAGTGTAGAATTCACTCTTGTTTTTAAAATATTAAAAAAGTAAAACTGTGTATTCAAATGTGCTTTGAACGTTCCTGTCTTGGTTTTAAAAATGAATTTCAGAGACAAAATCATTTGTTCATCACGTGTGAAAATAAGGAAGCAACCAATTAAATTGCAGTGATTCCCATCAACGTTTGGATTCTCTCTCTGTTTCTCCAGGTGTGGTCAGCTCACCTTCCACATCGTGCTGCCTTTCAGTTTCCTGCATAACGTCTACGTAGAGGCCGCAATCAGAGCCACTTATCTCAACAACATCTGCAATTGCACTGTGAGTAACCACAACACACACACACACCCACACACACACACACACACACACACACACACACACACAAATGCTTCCATACACACAAAATGCTTTGAATTGTAACACTCATTGACTCACAAGTGATTTTCAGTGTTTAGAACTCGCTCATACATACCCCATTTTCTGTTAAAGCTGCACTCCTATTTTTGTATTCATGATGGAAAGAATTACTATGCGTAACGTGAAAGAGGTCAGAAGCATAACTCCAAATTAAAGATATCGTTGCGTCATGTCTGCTGGATGTAAATAGGTAATTATAATAGCAACTTGACGGCACAATAACATGGTTTTAGCTTGTTCTGCTGCCGCCTAGTGGCCAAACACATGCTTTAAAATACAAAAATATTATCTAATTTCATGAATGAATGAACATGAGTTTGATCATTCGCAGGCTTCTCCTTTACCAAGAGTCAAGAACAGCTTCATGACAAACGCGACAACGCACTTTAATGTCAGCCAGACAACTACAATACCGGACACGGACGATCCAGAGGGAGGAAGGACTGCTCCTATAGCGACTCGTCACCACAGCCATCATCATCCTCCTCATCGTTCTCACCACCACCACCAACAACAACAACACCACCATCACCAGAATCAGTCCCATCATCAGCATGATGCAAGTCAGAATACAACTCTTCATCCTCTCATTCACCACCACCACCATCCTCAGCATCAGCAGCAGCAGCAGCAGCAGCCTGGCAACCACAGTCATCCTGATGGGATGGAAGTGGATAATTAAGATGCCAGGAGTGTTTTTACTTGCTCTTTCCCTCTTACGTACTGCTTTTGCTTTTGGCGGGAGGTTTTTAATTCGACGGCAGAACATACAGGCAAACAGCAGTTCACGGAATCTCTTTGAGCAGTAATCAGATTTGGGGTTTCTTTGCGAGCACCTCCACCCCTCAGTCCTCTGTGTGGGTGACGTAGCCGGTGCTTCCCGGTCCTCTCCCATTAATGAAGTCTACGGTGTGAAACCTGCCTGCAGGAGGCTGTGGATGGATGTGCATGTGTGGAGAGATTGGGGTGTGCTGATGGTTATTGTCACCCAGACAGAGTCAGAGGATGTTGTACGCTGCTAGCGAGCAAAACCTCAGTCCGATTACTGTCCAAACATTTTGCTTTTCTGGGTTCTGTTTCTTGCTTTTGTCAATCCTGTCTCCTGCATTATCTAGAAGTGATATGCTGAGCTACATCACTATATACAAATACGTTTTTAGTGCTGTTCCTTTATTCATTTGAACCTGTGCAAGCATTTTGGGAAGTGTCACAATAAATTAGATTAGTATACAATTGAATCATTAGAGGTTATAAATCACACCAGCAGGCAAAGTATTGTTCACTTGTACTTGTGTTATATGCAGTATTACTGGATTGACATACCATACGTTACTCCGTTAAATCAATTTTGCACATTTGCTGTGGATTTGAAACTTTGCCACTTCTGATTATATACATGAATGTAGAATTAACCTCTAGATTGTTGTTCTCCATTAAAAGGAAAAGACATTCATGACATGTTTCTCGGTGTCCTTTCTCATTCTGTGAATTGTGCGGTGCCCCTACACTCCATGTAACAGGAGATGTGAGGTTATGTTGTCCTCAAACTGTCATGGCGGCTGTGTGTGTGGTAACAGGGGTATAGGGCCACAACGCTGACAATGCGTGGTTACCTGATATGATGTATTGCAGCAGAGACAGTATATGTATGTAGCAGATCAGATACACATACAAATGTCTGGAACTCAAAGGAATGAGACATATGGCAACTTTTGACGAACCAGCAAGGAATGTGTGGAAAAGGGCTGACTAGGCGAGCTGTTTCCCGTGCGTCTCCAGTCTTTATGCTGAGCTAAGCTGGCTCCAGCTTCACACTTTGTCTTCCGATCCAACTGTTGTTATATAAGTATAGGAGCATATTTTCCAAAATATCAAACTATTCCTTTAAGAATTAGTAAACTGTGCTCACTTTATCTACTATAAGAAAAAAAAAACTGGATCTCACCTGGATGCATTGAAAATGAATAACAAAACAATTAGATCATTTGAAACCAAACAAATTATATATACAGTATATATACATATAAACATATATATATACGTATATATACAGACAGTATATATATATATATATATATATATGTATATGTACTGGAACAGGGTTATAGCTGTATGGAAGGCACCTGACCTGCTATGCTAGAATAAAGGACCACACTGCCATATGTCATGCTGGACACACACACGTACACAAACAAACACACACACAGGCAGAACAGGTGGATTACCTCAGTGCTGCTTAACACATGGCTGAGATGCAGCATGCTTTGACAGAGGAGAGCTGAGGAAAAGCATTTGAAAACTATCACAATGAAGGTAAGGCCAAGGACAAATATGTGTCAATTCTTGCAGTTCTTAACAATCTAGTAATACAACTAAATGTTCAATTGTTGTTATATCCTTTAGTATTATTTGACAGTCTTTTACTTCTATTTTGTCTCATATATCTTTATATATAGCTTTATATTAGAGCAACTGTAAAAGTATTGCAGATTACAATTCCCAACCATGTGTATGTGTATTGTCTTGAAAATATTTCCTTTAGATGAATCAACGCTGTAGGTCTTAAACCTACTGGATAAAGCTGAGCAGGTTGTGGCAGCCTGGCTATGTGGGGGATGTTCCTCTGTAAATCCCAGTAAGGAGGCTCCTGGAGACGCTAAACTACTTATCCCTGTCCACACGGCCGACTGCTTCCCCCAACACATTAATCAGTGCTTTCACTCCCAGTCAGTAGTTGACTGTTAAACAAAAGGCTTCGCCTTTCAAAAGACTGTGTACATTTGATATGGCCCACAAATTGTTGGATAAATTGTGGGGAGCGAATGGACTTGTTCACCTGATTATCTTTCCTTTTGAAAGAGAACAGATGAAACAACAAAGCGTGTTCCGGCCTTGAGGTTTGGATAAAGGCTCCCACTTGCTAAATTAGGAGTAGCGAAAATGACAAAAGAAGACATTTATACGTAAAAGACCAGTGTGTAGGATTTAGGGAGGATCTATAAACAGAAATGGAATATGGTATTAATATGGTATTCATAGTACAATCACCTGAAAATAAGAATGGTTGTGTTTTCGTTCCCTTAGAATGAGCCTTTCATATATGGAGTGAATCTACACACTGCTCCTTTAAAACTTAAAAAAGAAACACAGCAGTCAAAAAAACATATGAGAGCATTTAGTAAAAATAATTCCAAAATAGCATTCAAAACACAGTAATATAAAACTGGTCATTAATACCCGTGTAATTCCCAGAGACAATACCAAAGTCTGTGTTGGAGACTCTTCATGTGTAGACCTGTATACACACCCGTGGCCAAAAGTTTTGAGAATCACACAAGTATTGGTTTTCACAAAGTTTGCTGCTTCAGTGATTTTAGATCTTTTTGTCAGATATTCCTATTGTATACTGAAGTATAATTACAAGCATTTCATTCGTGTCAAAGGCTTTTATTGACAATTACATTAAGTTTATGCAAAGAGTCAGTATTTGCAGTGTTGACGAGAAGTTGCTCTCGGAGGATGTTTTGGTACCATTCTTTATTCAGGGCTGTGTTCTTAGGCAACATTGTGAGTGAGCCCACTCCCTTGGCTGAGAGAAGCAACCCCACACATGAGTGGTCTCAGGAGGCTTTACTGTTGGCATGACACAGGACTGATGGAAGCGCTCACCTTTTCTTCTCCGGACAAGCTTATTTTCGGATGCCGCAAACAATCGGAAAGGGGATTCATCAGAAAAAATGACTTTACCCCTCAGCAGTCCAATCCCTGTACCTTTTGCAGAATATCAGCCTGTCCCTGATGTTTGGTCCTGGCGCTTGCTGGACTTGTCGGGTGCCCTGAAGCCTTCTTCACAACAATTGAACCTCTCTCCTTGAAGTTCTTTGATGATCCGATAAATGGTTGATTTAGGTGCAATCTTACAAGCAATTCATCTGATCACTCTTCATAACACTCTGGAGTATATGCAAAATCGGCGTCATAAAAACTGAGGCAGCAGACTTTGTGAAAATTAATATTTGTGTCATTCTCAAAACGTTTGGCCCCGGGTGTAGAGTAAAGAAGATGAAGGAGAGGAAGTAACCGACCTGCTGCGTGCAGAGCTTTCATCTGCAAACACTAGATGGCAGCACTGTCGTAGGTTAATCGTACATGGCAGTTCATCACCCTGTCATCCACATTAGGCAGCCATTCATCAAGGGGATTATTAGTTATTATCCATTATCAAGAGATACGTTTGGATTAGTGGACATAATCCTTGCCTTGTAATCCAGATCATCTCTGGGTGGTTTCATGAAATTTGCAGAGGGGTGCTATTCTTTTTGTAAGACCTTTCAAAGAAGGATGATGGAGGATGAGCATACAAAGTTTGTTGTTTTGAAATGATACTTTTTGTATTGCTCATACTCAGTGCAGTGTAGACTTTTAACACATTACAAATTGTCGTAATTTATTCCCCCAGATGACTTTCTTTGCACCTATCTTCTTACTAGCTCTGATGAAGTTTGCAGAACCGAAGCCTTGTGAGAGTACAGCACAACTTTATTTTGCAAATCCGTCTTTGAGGGCACCTTTGCAGAATACAACATTAAAGGGGACGTAATACAAAATACTAACTTTTTCAGTACTTTTGGATATCCAGAGTGCATACCAACGCACAAACTGTGACTTAAGAAAACCCAGTCAGTTATTGCTGATCAGAAAACATGTGATTCAACAAGCCATTCAGATTTGTCTCCCATTCCTTTGTCCCATGAGGCTTCATTAGAATATACGGCCTGCCCTACAATCTGAGTATTTCCATCCACGCCTTGAGAACTACCTTTGCAAAGGTGCACCAAATTCTATCTCGCAAGCCAATCAAAGCAAATTGGGCTTTTTCTGGAGGGCGGCCTAAAGAGACAGCCGCTAAAACGGAGTGTTTCAGACAGAAATTATGAGAAAAATAATGTCTTTTTTGATAATTGGAGCATGTAAACATGTTACAGTAGACCCAGAATACAACCTAAAAATGAGCACTTGTCCCCTTTAAGACTAGAATATTAGAAATAACATGTAAAATATCATTAAAATGCTATCAATATGCACAATAATAGCATCAGTTGATATAAGAAATAGCATTCAAAGTAGAATAAATTCAATAAAAAAAAAAAATGTTAAAAATTCCATTCCACACATGTGTGAACATGTGTGAACATGTGTGAATAAACGTCCAACATCTGGCCTGGAGAGAGATTACCAAATGTAATTTTCAACACAGTGTTGTAGTTCAGTTAAGTACTATTAGCTAATGAAATGTTCTCCTGCTCATGTGTATCCATGTCAGGGGGTTCCAGCTCTCACCGTGTGGCAGAAATTACAATTATTCTACCAAGGGATTTTAAGAAATGGAGGCAAGTTTTTTATTTTTCCACTTCATCAATATTTCAGTGATATATTGTTATGTCAGACATTGACACAGTCTGTGCTCGATCTATGCTTCTCTTTCGCCGTCTCTCTGTCTAGACAAAAGGACAGACAGTTGGCTGCTGGTCTACTCTCCTGTGCCAATCAGCTTCATCTTCCTGTGCTACCTGGTCATCATATGGGTGGGGCCAAAGCTGATGGAGAAGAGGCAGCCTGTCAATCTTAAACCCGTCCTGATAGTTTACAACTTTGCCATGGTCTGCCTGTCGGCGTACATGTTCTATGAGGTACCACTGTACTGTGTGTGGTAGCATTTGTAAGGGCTGTACGTAGATGGGGTGGGTGGGTCGGGTTTTCTAATGTTTGCATGTCAGCAACCTCCTAACAGCTGTTGGCATGCAGAATGTAAAGAACTGGATTCTCCTAATACCAAAATCATCCAAGCTTGTAGTTGGAGAAGCTGTAAGATAGGGAACAAAAACAGGTGCAATAAGATATATATTCTCTAGTCTCTTCATTTTTCATTAAAGCTACTCTTATTAATATTTTTGAATAGCAATGGATCAAATGAATATGTGTGATGTGAAGAGGGTTGCTCAGAGGGAACCCACTGAGAATAATCACTTGACTCTGCAGTTCACCTCAATGTTTCAGAGCTCGCATTCTCTCTACTGGCCAGCAGGGGGCGACTCCTCTGGCTGCAAAAAGAAGTCAGATTGTATAGAAGTCTATGAGAAAATTATTATTCTTCTCTCTTGATTTATTACCTCAGTAAACATTGTAAACATGAGTTTATGGTCTCAATCTCTAGTTTCAAGTCTTCTTCAATACAGCATGATGTTCATTTAGTAAATTATGGTCCATTTATTTGGTTTCAATAATACTTAGATGGTGATTGGCCAAAAACCAAGATGGCAACTGCCAATATCCAAAATGGTGATGGCCAAAAATGAACTACGTCCAGTCATTATATGGACAACTGCAAATTAATGTTAATGTTGCACCATACCTGCTGGATGTGTAAATCAGCAACTTTTTAACAATATACATAAA